AGTACAGTAGAAGCCATTTTACACCAGTACAGTAGAAGCCATTTTTAAGGCACAACAGGCTGTATCTCAACAGAACACACACACACCGAGGGGTGTTGGGGTGTCTTACCCCCCCACAGTATTTGCTTCCGGAGAGTAAATCATCTGTGTACCAAGGGTGGTTGAAACTGTTCGAGGCGTTCCTGAGTTATGTTGGAACACACACACACGCACGTTTTTATAGAGAGAGATATAAACCTTATAAAATATGTGCTACTACGGAAGGATGAAGGAACCTGCTTAGGTATTCTTTAGTAAAAACCACACGCTTAGTCCCCAAAACCCTCTCTTCATTTCACCGGCTGTGAATTATGGTCATTCACAGCCCGTAATGAGTCACAAATAGTTTGTAAAGAGTCCGACAGAAGTCTGCCAAAGTCTTTCGGGATAAGGCTGATAAGCACCCACCTTTATCTCCCTTGAAACGCTGCCAGAGACCGAATTGCCCATTGGTTTTGCAAGGCCACGTGGAGCAGAGTCAAAACGAAGCTTCAGAGTTTGAACCGACCAGAACGAACAAAGTTGCTTCCTACAAAGGCTCACGTGCCTTTATTCCTCCTTTATGTCTTATGGGAGGGGCCACTCATCTCCAAGTCTTACTCCCGAGTCGCCCCTTTTGTCTTAACTGTTCTTGCCTTCTGGCAGCTCTGCGCATGCGCGCACTGGGAACAGGCTCCAGCTGTTCCTCTGCCTCGCTGATGTCTGACTCCGAAGGCAGCTGATAACTGGCATACGGCCCTGGCCCCCTCTCTGCCTCCGACGCAGAGCCCTCGTCTGAGCCTTCCCCAGACTCCCAAGACTGGCCCAGGTTCCTCCCCAACCCTCCTCACTGTCCGAATCTGCTGCCAGCTCCGTAGGCTGGTGGCGGACCACAACACATACATCATCCGCCATCCTATATTCCTTCACAACAACCCTGTAAAGTCGCTTGGAGTAGAAGGTGCCCCAAGTGAGCTGCTATGCTGCTGATGGAGTAGAAATTAGATCTCTCCGGGAAATCCCTCTTAAGGGTGAGAGGAGGGTCTGCCTAGTTGTAATCACCCATCACCAGCTGTCATGGCTGCATTTCTCTACCTCAATGCTCGCTTACCCTGGGTTGCTGGGATGGCCTTCACATTTGGCTTGATCCTGGTTGGATTACAGTAGAAGCCATTTTACATCAGTACAGTAGAAGCCATTTTTAAGGCACAACAGGCTGTTTCTTAACAGAACACACACACACCGCCAACATCCAAAGATCTTCGCTCATCCCGCCCAGGAACAGGCCCTACCACAATTACAATGAAGCAGCACACGTAAGGACTCGGTGTGTGTCTGTGTGTTTGTGCGTCCAGAATTGAATTCTTGCCCTGCTTTTATATACGGCGAGGAGTAATTCCTCATAACTTCTTCCCAACAACCTTGCGAGGTAGGCTGGAGAGAGGGATTGGCCCCCAAACCACCCAGGCTGGCTTTCACACCTCAGGGAAGATTGGAACTCATAAAAGCTCCCGGTTTAGTTCAGCACAGGTAGCCTCGACTTACGACCGTTCCGTTTAGCGACTGAAGTTACAACAGCCCCCCCCCCCAACTATGGCATCCCACTGGTCACGTGATCAAAATTCAGAGGCTTGGCAACTGGCATGTACTTATGACGATCGCAGGGGGGTGTATATCTCCCACATGATCCACTTTTGCAACCCCGGATTCACTTAACGACTGTGCTACTAACTTAACAACGGTGGTGATTCCCTGAAACAACTGCGGCGGGGAAGGTCGCAGAGCGGGGGGGAGAAACTCACCCCACTCTCGCTTAGGAACAGGAAGCTCAGGCTCCCTTGTGGCCGTAAATTGAGGACTCGCCATAAAAAGATGCAAGGTGACTCTTTTTTTGGGGGGGGAGTCCCAGACCCCACCCCCGTGTTCAAAAGCAAGTTTATCAGTTTATCTGCCGCAGAGCACAGCGTGGGAAGGAAGGGGAGGCTCAGGGAGTTCCTGGGGAAACGGATTAAAAAAACGGGATCTCGGCTGGATTTGGGTTCAATTCAAAACCCCTTCAGTTGAAATAGAGCCCACCCACTCGTCTTTGCAGCCGTCCATTCTATAGGACGCCCCCCCACCCCACGATCCCGGCCCTGGAGTGAGCGGGGGACAGCCTAGCTTGCATTCCCCCCCACACACACATTTAATTTCTCCCTGGTGGAGAACAGCTGCTCAAGGAAGGAGGGGTGGGGGGATGCCCCCGGCTTGTCTGGCAGCTGGTGGGCTTGGCGAAGGCCGGCTCTGCAGCCATTTTGGACGTGCCAGCCGCTCGCTCCATGCCATGCGGGCACCGCGGCTTCCACATGTTGGAATGGCGAGGGAGCATCTCTAAAAAGGAGGAAGCGGGCTGGAAGATGCTGGGGGGAGGGGAGGGCTCTCTCTCTTTCCCCCCTCCCCACTTCCCAGTCTAAGCAAAGCAAGCCAGGTTTTTTCCCCAACTCTTTGCCAGGGGTTGCAAAGACCCTGCTGGACCCCATTCAGTGGGGGGGGGGATGTGCTTATCTCTTATTTGCTTTATTGATTTGTTTTTCTTCTACTGAACTTGGTATTTTCTATTACTTCCTTCTTGGCAGTTTGCTCCACGTTCCATTGACTCCAGGGACACCGTTCTCTTGCAATCTCTTTAGCAAGCCATGGTGTGTGATTTAGCGAACCACGGTTCGTGATTTAGCGAACCACGGTTCGTGATTTAACAAACCACCGCTCGTGATTTAGCAAACCACCGCTCGTGATTTAGCAAACCACCGTTCGTGATTTAGCGAACCATGGTTCGTGATTTAGCAAACCACCGCTCGTGATTTAGCAAACCACGGTTCGTGATTTAGCGAACCATGGTTCGTGATTTAGCAAACCACCGCTCGTGATTTAGCAAACCACAATTTGTGATTTAGCAAACCACAGTT